CCATGCAAGCTGTTCATACAATTGATCACAATATCAGTCTATTAAAAAAACTCTCATGCTATGGTTTCAGTAACCATACTCTCGATCTTTTTCGTAACTATCTCTCCGAACGAACTCAAGTTACTGTTATTAATAATATATCATCGCAAAAATGCAGTCTTCTGTGTGGGTTCCCACAAGGATCTATTTTGTGGCCATCCCTATTTCTAATATACAGGGTGTCTAAAAAAAACGCAATGGGAATTCAACAGGTTGTCGTGCATCATAAACGTGGCTAAATAATTTAATTTTTACATAGGACGAAAGAACAGTTATTTAGCTTTTCAATGATAGGCTACACTTTTTAAATCGTAACGATGAGAAATGGTCACATACTCGTCAAATAAAAATTGCCGGTGGAAATCACATTCTTCCACCGTTGGGAATTGCATGTTCACTCAGATGTGATCACCACGTACTTCCATACTCACAGCCGAGTTCAGAGCACTGCATGGTTCACTCTGATGTGATCAACATGTACTTCCATACTCACAGCCGAGTTCAGAGCACTGCATGGTTCACTCAGATGTAATCACCATGTACTTCAAGTACTCACAGCCGAGCTCAGAGCGCTGCATGGTTCACTCAAATGTGATCACCATGTACTGCCATACTTACAGCCGAGTTCAGAGCACTGCATGATTCACTCAGATGTGATCACCATGTATTGGCATACTCACAGCCGAGTTCAGCGCACTGCATGATTCACTCAGATGTGATCACCATGTACTTCAAGTACTCACAGCCGAGCTCACATCACTGCATGATTCACCCAGATGTGATCACCATGTACTGCCATACTCACAGCCGAGTTCAGAGCACTGCATGATTCACTCAGATGTGATCACCATGTACTTCAAGTAATCACAGCCCAGCTCAGAGCACTGCATGGTTCACTCAGATGTGATCACCATGTACTTCCATACTCACAGCCGAGTTCAGAGCACTGCATGATTCACTCAGATGTGATCACCATGTACTTCAAGTAATTACAGCCAAGCTCAGAGCACTGCATGGTTCACTCAGATGTGATCACCATGTACTTCCATACTCACAGCCGAGCTCAGAGCACTGCATGGTTCACTCAGATGTGATCACCATGTACTTCCATACTCACAGCCGAGCTCAGAGCACTGCATGATTCACTCAGATGTGATCACCATGTACTTCCATACTCACAGCCGAGCTCAGAGCACTGCATGATTCACTCAGATGTGATTACCGTGTACTTCAAGTACTCACAGCCGAGCTCAGAGCACTGCATGATTCACGCAGATGTGATCACCATGTGCTTCACGTGCTCACAGCCGAGCTCAGAGCACTGCATGGTTCACTCAAATGTGATCACCATGTACTTCAAGTACTCACAGCCGAGTTCAGAGTACTGCATGGTTTATTCAGATGTGATCACCATGTACTGCCATACTCACAGCCGAGCTCAGAGCGCTGCATGATTCACTCAGATGCAATCACCATGTACTTCCATACTCAGCCGAGCTCAGAGCACTGCATGATTCACTCAGATGTGATCACCATGTACTTCAAGTACTCACAGGCGAACTCAAAGCACTGCATGGTTTACTCAGATGTGATCACCATGCCACTTCAAGTACTCAAAGCCAAGCTCAAAGCACTGCATGGTTCACTCAGATGTGATGACCATGTACTTCAAGTACTCACAGCCGAGTTCAGAGCACTGCATGGTTCACTGAGATGTGATAACCATGTACTTTAAGTACTCACAGCCGAGTTCAGAGCACTGCATGGTTCACTGAGATGTGATCATCATGTACTTCAAGTACTCACAGCCGAGTTCAGAGCACTGCATGGTTCACTCAGATGTGATCACCATGTACTGCCATACTCACAGCCGAGCGGCACTGCATGGTTCACTATGATCATGTGATCACCATCTCGTAAGACTTTTATAACTTAGATTTTGTTTGACCTCTTTTAGTTCATTCTTTCAGTCATAGGAATTTTGTTTCACAATATAACCTTAACTTGGGTTAATCTTCATTCGAAATTCTGATTTCTTGGAAACAAGCTGAGTTTCCAGCGACTTGTTATTGTTCTTTCTGCTCTTCCGGTCCGCCATTAATGAGATTCGTGAATACCAGCGGAAGCAAGATAGCGTTAATATATGTCGCTACAAGACAGACACTTGTAGAACAATAAACTGGTACTTAGCACTTGTACAAGGATACAGTAAACAATTCTGATTCTGTGCCCTTTGCTGACTGTGTGTGTGGTTATCTGGATAGCGAAAATGTAAGTAGATGTAATGCTTGGCTACATGTATACATATGAATTGTTTGATCATTTGATTTCACGCATGTTGATTTCTGTGTCTACGTAAGTTACGTTTACACTGCGTTTGTTCGGCATATTTAGGTTTTGCTCAATGTTAATGACGAACATTTCTATAAAGAGCGTTGTTTCAGATGATAACAAATTGCTATAAAGAGCGTTGTTTCAGATGATAACATGCAGATGAGTGTATTGCGTCATTTAGTGTATGGGTTTTGGCACTTAGGTACATCTTTCATAATTATCATGCAATCACTAGTTGCATTTACTGCAGGCTGATAAAAATCATTCATCCATCGTTTCCCTAACGCTGGCGTTCCCCTGCACTACAGCTTTCATAAGTATGATGGTATCACTCGTTGCATGCACTTCTAATTAATATCATTCTCAATTTTATCATCTGATATGAAACATAATGGGAAACTTAGAGGAAACGTCGTTCTTTATCATCATACCACTCCAGTGACTCCACTAAGTTTCTATCCAATGAGGCAGGTAGTAAAACTTGACGACGCCAACATCGTCGATTCGACGCTAACCCCCCCCCTAGATGTTGGTTCCCAAGTTTGTTTCCTGCAAAACAATAAAGATAATATAAATATATGAATGAAAGTAGAGTTACAAAAGATAATGTTACAAAATAAGATCAGATAGTTTACATTGCGATCCAGATCAACATTCACATCCGATCTGTGTCATACAGATCGGAGACTGTGTCTGATATACAAACTCTCGCCTTCGGCTCGAGTTTGTATATCAGATACAGATCGGCTGCTCATGTTTTATCTAGTACTTAACTTATTAAAAAGAAGCTATAGTAAACCTATACTCTTCTTAAAGGAGTGAATAAAACTGTATCAATATAAATACATCCTACAAAGTTAGCCTTAATACGGAGATTATCCATAGCATGCTCTGCTGTATTTAAGACCGTTTATAATACGTTCATATATAAAACTATGCCATGCACAGTCAGTTCATATATACTATTTACAACATGAGCGGCCGTGTTGTATCGGATATACAAACTCGAGCAGAAGGCGAGAGTTTGTATATCCGATACCGGCAACACGGACGCGAATGTTGTAAATGGCTTGAAAAACGACTCATCTTATGAGTTCATTGGCGAAGTAATTTTAAAAATAAACGTTGTCTAAGCCGAAAAAATCAAAGTTAAAGTTTATGTAAATCAACATGAATCTGTATCACATATACAGATACGACACGCTTATGATTTTTCTTTGTGTTTTCTTCATGAATTATTAATGAGTTTTTTAAATAGGAATATAAAATCTCGGGATATTATGATCGATATTGTTGTCCAACGAATGCTTGACTGCATCTAGTCAGTCTACGACACCAGGCAAACAAAATAACATTTAAGTCACCTTGTTCCCAGTATGTTTGTCAAAGTAGCTTTGTTCAGCGTACTCTAGTTATGGGTTTAATCAATTTTAATTAATACAGAAAACGCTTGCATTAAACAAGAAGGAAGATAGTCACACCAAACTGAATATATTTATGCGTTCTGCATGTATGTTCAATCTATTTGTAGGCTATATCGTTTATATTGTGTATTGTTTACTACGTAAATATAAATAGCTACGTCACCTTCGACCCCACAATGTTGTACGTTTACTGCATGAACCTCGAGAATTCCTTGTATATGGTTATTTAATAAAGAATATCTTATTTCAAGTTTATTTCTTTTATTGTAAGCACTCGTGGTGTCATGCTCAACACGCTTGACTTTCAAGCTGGGAGACCCGGCGGTTCAATCTGCTCAACGTCTTAAAATAATGGAGGAGAAAGTGGTACATTTACATTGGCATGAGTAAATGGTTAGACTTTCGCGTCTTCTCGGATATTAAAATCAGTCGTTGCTACCTCGGATCTCCTAACAATTGGGCCAAAGCCTGTTGGGAAAACTGCTCATCAATGAGTGAGAAATAAAGTGAACCGCCTGTGAATAAACTAAACTAAAAACTAATCAAAGTTCTCGACTTAGTCTTAAAGCGATCCAACTTCGACCAGAAGTCAACGGGGAAATGAAAAGAGTAAGAGGAGATCTTATTATAGTACATTATTTAGACATTTTACATTCCAATTTCTGGGAAGCTCGTATTAATTCTTGGAAAAAGATATTGTTTCCCGCTAACTATTTCATTTTCGGATTGGCTTTCGCCTTGTTTCAATTTAGATTAAGCAGCTGAAGCAAGCAAAGCTCATACCCATAGTGCTTTTTGCGAGAACGCGCTTGTCTGAATTTATTAATTAGTTTTCGAGTGGTTTCAAATTTATGCACATGCCTTAAATAACTATTTCTGCATGAAAATTTGAACTATGATTTGGAATCATGTTTGTACTAGTCGCCATGTCTGTGGATTCCACGAATTGGCGATGTTCATGTAATTGCCTATCTATACAACAAAATTTAGTAGAATTAGATAGAATTCCATGTAACAATATTGAAATGAAAATGAAAAAAAGATTATTTGTTCAAGATATATAAATATTCTTCGCTATCTTGTATCCATTTCGCCGTAGCTTGCATCCATTTCATGAAATTCTTGTAATTTTACACACGTAGACTGGCTAACTACATCCGTAAGAACTCTTTCCAGAAATATATATAAAAGCAATCCATTTACCTGGAGACGTTCGTTGTGTTATATCCTATTGGTTGTAATTTTTGTGAAGATTGATCATCTATTTGAGCGCCGTGGTTCAACGCTGTAGCTATGAAAGTAATCAGCTTCGCTTCGTTGCTGGTTTTACTACAAACAAGTGGTAAGACATAAATATTTCTATTATTGTTTAACTAAGTTTTATTTTCATTTAGGAACTACAGTTAACTGCATCAGTCATCGTTCAAAAATTATTATTGAAGCTACATTTTCCTGCATTACGAACCAATTCGATAAGAAAATTTTCCCCAAATAATAAGTGATGAAATGACATGTCGAGACATGCAGACAAAAACGACTCTGCTAGGAAGATGAAATTCATTTTCATTTATGTATATGACCGATACGGGCGGTGAAGAATTAGCGAGTTAAGTTCTTAATAAAAATGTTTAATTAACCCTTAATTCGTCTGTCCGTGGATTAAACTTTCAAGTATGGCGTTAGATCGACTAAAGTCACTACAGGGTCAATACTATATGAATACAGACTGTAACGAGTTGAAAATATTCCTGTATATCATACGTTATTGATTTAATTTTCTTCAGTTCCAGTGTTATTATATGAAAATAACACATCGTCAAGTGCCCAGCTTATAACTCAAACTACACGTGAAATCATTTATGCCAGGACTACTCCAAGTCCAACGTCATCACGTCCGTCAGCAGCGATAGCGTCGCAACATGTTGAAACCATTCATTCTGCAGGTGAGTCGTGCATAGAACTTTCAAAATTTGTTGAAGAACACTATACACGTGAAACAATAGCGTAAACTCGACGTTGACAATACAATACAATATAGTTAAGTACTGTCAGCCTCGTACCATTGTCTCATGTGCACTCAATTAAGCAATTCAGGAAATGTTTATTGAAGGTAATATCAAGTGCACCATAGGCATTACCATCCGTATTATTTGCAGTGCAATTAGTAGCACTAACATCCTCAATTCACTCCCACAGTCCCACTCGGTTAATGTACTTCAGACACCTTTGAGGTTGCTGGCTTATTTGAGAGGTGGCTTATTAACTAGAGTGGATGGCTTAATGAAGGGAATATTCATGCGGGGGGCTTATTGATGCGGGTGGTTATTGGAGAGGGGGCTTACCTCAAAAAGTAAAAGTCAAAGTAGCTCGCATGAAATTCCTAGCCAATTAATTACGAGTAAAGGTACAGACATCGACGAAAATATTGCTAACCAAAATCATGCTACCCGTACCCGTACACCGAAACCGGGGTATCTTAACCTCTCTAATAGAGAGGTTAAGATACCCCGGTTTCGGTGTACGGGTAGCATGATTTTGGTTAGCAATATTTTCGTCGATGTCTGTACCTTTACTCGTAATTAAGGTGCACATTTTCCCCATTATATCATTGTCTTGTAGCAAGAAAACAGAAAAAGTATGATTGAATTACAGACATCAGTAAAAACTAGTAAACAAGATGACACTACTCGTACCCGTACACCGAAAAACCGGGGTATCTTAACCTCTCTATTAGAGAGGTTAAGATACCCCGGTTTCGGTGTACGGGTACGGGTAGCATGATTTTGGTTAGCAATATTTTCGTCGATGTCTGTACCTTTACTCGTAATTAAGGTGCACATTTTCCCCATTATATCATTGTCTTGTTGCAAGAAAACAGAAAAAGTATGATTGAATTACAGACATCAGTAAAAACTAGTAAACAAGATGACACTACTCGTACCCGTACACCGAAACCGGGGTATCTTAAACTCACTAATTAATTTATCTCTGGTTTTATGCGTCAAACAAGGACAAAAATACCACTGTTCGAATCAGCGTGAAATGTTGTGTTTACGGATGGAAAATTGATTTCAAAATTGACTTCTATTCTAGCGATTTGTCGCCTTTGAAAGACAAAAGCCGCTCAAAATAATCCTTCACGTTTTCCGAATTCCTTTTTTCGAGGAAAGTTTTCTTTCGAATTAATCTCGAACTCTCACGATTGACTTTTTGCTGCGTCTTATCTCTGGTTTTATGCGCCCAATAAGGACAAAAATACCACCGTTCGATTCAGTGTAAGAAAGTATACTCACAGATGTCAAATGTATTACTAAACTACAGTATTCTAGCGATTTATGGCCTTTGAAAGACAAGCGAAATTGTATTGTTCACAAATCGCTCAAAATTATTAAACTAATCAAAAATGCAATACATTGTCGTAAAAGACGAGGACCAGGTTTGTTTGGTTGAATATTATTGTGTATAAAACTATTACAAAGCGTTGTGTTTCGAGTTTTTCTAAAACTATATAAAAGTGCGCCAAAACAACTGTCATGTGACCGAGGCACAGCTAACCCAAAACTAGCCTAGAAATATGCATGTTAATGATCTACTTTAAAGATAAAGATAGGTTTAAAGTTAGTAATCTAATCTAGCATTATTCAACATCCTCCGGGGCCGGGGAAAGTTCTTCGACCCATTTTGAAATTTTGTTTCTTGCTCTTAGAGCCGTAGCCTGCTCACAGACGTTGTAGTTCTTACGCCAAGCGACGAAATACTACCGTCTGCTTACCCGAGCGCCAAACTGAATTCCGCTACGTCGACCAATCAGAATTTACCTTCCAAATTCTGGAAAGTGACGTCAGTTGATTTAGGAGCGGAATAAATATATATTTTGAAAGCAGTCGTCGGTTGAATTTTGGTCAAAATTGCACATAAATTGAATTTAAAGATACTGATACTTGTCCAGGTAATAAAATGCACCATTAATGATCAGATTTGGATATTAAAGATGTTCGGTTTAATATATTTAAAACGCGGACAGGATTGGCATATTTATACTGTATGAATCTTAGCCAGACGGCATCAAATGCCGAATATATTTCGCTGAAATTTGAACGGTTTATCTTTATAAGACAACAGAACTCGGAAGACAGAAAATTTTATATAATACTGTGGCTTAGAAAGCGAAATATTAGCTTCAAAGTAAATTAATTTGCTGTCTGAGCAACCACTTCTGAATGTAAACTGTAAACACAACACAAACCCGAGAAACTTGTATTAAAATTGCGCCGTGATGAATTTTCCAATTCGCCCAAACTTTCGAAACGTTTAATATACTCTAACTTGGCTATACTTTTCTACATGACAATGAGAACTTAATCTTTTAGAAGTTTTCGTCGAAGTCATGGCATATAGGAAGTATCAAGAGCAACATTTGGACATATCCTGGTTCCCGATTGATTGTTTGTCATTGTTATAAACAAAAATTTAAATTTCGCCTACTCCATTGCTTTAGCACTTTATATACACCGATTGTTTGTTGAACATGCGAGAAGATGATAACAATATTATTCTACGTAAACATCGTGAAGTTCAACGCTATAGTTTCCAAAATATATCCACGCAAGTAAACAAATTTCAAGTTTCAACCCAAACAATATATTCCAATGCATGTGCAAGGGCTTTTCCCAGTAGCTAATCTCTCAATATATAAGGCGGCTTCCAATTGGCTCTAGTGTTTTTGAACACTGCCAGATGATTGGCTCGGCTAAAACAAAGGGAACTGAATATGCAGCTCGGGTAAGCAGACGGTAGTATTTCGTCGCTTGGCGTAAGAACTACAACGTCTGTGAGCAGGCTATTAGAGCCGCCGCTCTCTTTGGTCGTGATGAATTGTTTTCAGCAATTGTTCGCGTGTCGGTTTCTTCCGCGCCATTCGATTGTTTCTGTTGTTCTTTGCTAATTTCTGCGGAGATCTCTAACGGGTATAATTTGGTGATTGGTCTGTTCGTGCGACCATTTTTTGTGCGGATGTTTGCGGCTCGCACTAATCCATCGTTTCCTCGAATAAGTTCTTCTATGATTGCTAATTTCCATGTGTTTCTGGGTTTATCATCGTGGACCATAACTAGTTCATCTTTCTTTATCGTTTGCTCGGGAATATAATGAGCTTTATCTGAGTGTTGAGTTGTTTGAACTTTCTCTATAAATCCACGACTTCATACTCGGTGATGATATTACTATATGTCTGGAGTAGTTCCGGTGTTTGTTTGAGGCGACGTGCCATCGATCTTGTTCTCCTTTCGCATACCGTGTATAGTTAGATTGGAGAGGTGGGTGTTCTGGTTTCCACGGAAATCCTGTTATGTAACTGCCATTCGTGTCACGGCTGATGAATGATTGTTGATACTGTTCGAGAAATTGTTTATGAGGATCATTTTCAGTTGGTGGTGTTATTCCCAATGACTCTAGAGACCAAAATCGTTGTAGGTCGTACTCATCTGAGGATATCTGGAGAAAATTTGCAATCGAATGTACTGGTTGGTCAGTTTTTAGTGGACCTGACAGTAGATAACCAACTTTGGATTTCATGGCAGTAGGCCCATTTCCACGGATGACTTGGTCTTCGATGATGTCCCAGTATTGGTCGGCTCCAACGAGGAGGGAAATTTCAAAATTCTCATCATTTGTTACAGGGTGTGCAAGTTGAAGGTTCTTCAGATGTGGGATGTTGTTGATATGGTGATGTGAACGAAGTTGAAGTGGTGTTGCTATTCGTTCAACAATTAGTACGCGTAGTGGGATTTCATCTTCGGTAATGGTCTTAAGGTTGATGACGGTGGACTCGAGGGACCTTGCAGCTGAAGTTTGAGCACCAAAGCCAGATACACTGATAAATTCTCTTTCTGTGGGTTGTAGTTGCAAGCGGGTTGCTAAATCTTTGGTAATGAATGATCTTTGTGCTCCTTCGTCAAAGAGAATGTTTGCTTCACAGTAGGTGATCTGATTACCAACTGTTGCTATGGCTGTTTTGAGCAAGGTTTCCGTGTGGGTGGGATTAGTCAGGGGGGCAATAGGGGTCATAGTGGTGTGGACAACAGTACCCGAGGTGTTCCCAGTAACGTTTGCAGCTGGTGAAGGTATTTCAGGTTTTGGCTGACCTTCATTACAGAGACTGGTATGGTGTATTCCCTTACATGAGCGACAGCGAAACTTTGACAGACATGCTGAGGATTTGTGGTGACCCAAACAATTGAAACAAAGTTTCTGTTCCTTTACAATTGCCCAACGTTTTGAACAATCTTTGATTGTAGCACATTCATTAGATGAATGTTCTTCCTTACAATAAACACATTTCTTCGGTTTAGGATGAATGGGTGGAACATATCTTGGTGGTGTTTCATGTCGATTGTGTGATAGGAATGATGATGTGATAGGAGCATGATTTTCAGGTGTGATTCTATTTTCAAAACTGGGTATCCCTGCTTCCTGAATTTTAATTTCCTTATAAATGGATTCTCTTAATTGAGAGAATGTCCATTCCGGGTTACTGTGTTCTCGAGCTAAGTTTCGTCTAAGATTATTGGGTAGTTTGCCAAGGATTATGGGGACGAGAAGATCTCCATATGATTCCTGAGATTTACCAAGGGAAGCAAGACCCCTTACATGGGTTTCCATAGAATCATAGAATTGCTGTAGGTTAGTTAGGTCATTGGATGGGTTGGGTAAGTTCAATAGAGCTTGCATGTGATTATTAATAATCTTTTGGGGTTCTCCAAATCTAGTTTTGAGAAGGTCTACAGCTTGTTTATAGTTGTTGTTGGTAAGTGGGAATCCAGCTATAGCTCTGGCAGCATCTCCAGATAATTGGGCTCTTAGATAGTTAAATTTTTGTACCCCTTCAAGATTCGGATTTGAATTTACAGCTACATTAAATGTGTCCCAAAATGTGTTCCAAGTCAAGGGGTTTCCAGAAAACGTTGGTAAGTTTAATTTGGGTAAACGACTCACATGGTTTGGGGTTGGGGTGAGATGTTGGTGATACTGGGTTGGATTGATAGTTCATTGGAAGATTACCAGTATTAGTGCTAGTATTCATTGAACTAACACCTTCGGATTCGTTAACAGTGACTGATTGTTCTTGGTTTAATGGTGGGGTTTGCAATGGATTTACTTCGAGTGTTGAGGATGTAGTGGGTTGTGATTCACTGACTTGTTGAGATGGAATGGTTTGTGGTGAATTATCATGTTGTGGATGTGTGATAACTTGGGGTGCACTAACTTGTTGTGGAGGTGTGATAACTTGGGGTGCACTAACTTGTGGTGGAGATGTAATAACTTGGGGTGCATTAACTTGTAGTGGAGATGTAATAACTTGGGGTGCATTAACTTGTGAGATTACTGGATTCTTAACAGTATTACAAGACAAAACAAAGGCACTTATCTGAGCACTTTTCTCGTTGATTTCACATTCAATATCCTCTGCTTCCATGATTTCTTGTTCGAGTCCGTCAGGATCTTCGACCATAGCTAAGAGTTTTTCGTTCAGTTCGTTCAATACGGTTCTTTTCCTTGCGAGTTGTTCAATAGTAGCGGTGAACGAAGCAATCTGCATGGCGTTTGGGGCTTCGTCATTCTCCATTATTGTTGTAGCCTTGTTTAAAACCTTTGTCAAATGAGCTCTGTGTCCCTTTCGTGAGCGCTGAATTCTTTGAGTTTCTTCCATCCTGGTCACGGCACCAAATAATGTCGTAAAAGACGAGGACCAGGTTTGTTTGGTTGAATATTATTGTGTATAAAACCAGCGGCGGCGGAACAGATTTCGTTCTGGGGGGGCTAAATTTTTTCGGCGACCTCTCCCCCCCCCTCCCCAAAAAAATTTCGGTCAGTGTACCACTTTAGGGGTACAATATACAAAAAAAGGGACGAAAAATTTTTTTTCGGACTTATATCAAAAATTTTTTTCGGAAATACACTTTTTTTAAACAAAATATTGCAAATTTGTCCCCTTATACCTAAATTTTCAAAAAATAACCTAAATTTTTCCCTAATTATCAAAATTTTCCCCAAAATTCAAATTTTCTGGGGGGGGGGGCTAAGCCCCCCACTTTTACTTCTGGGGGGGGCTTTAGCCCCCCTAGCCCCCCCTGTTCCGCCGCCCCTGTATAAAACTATTACAAAGCGTTGTGTTTCGAGTTTTTCTAAAACTATATAAAAGTGCGCCAAAACAACTGTCATGTGACCGAGGCACAGCTAACCCAAAACTAGCCTAGAAATATGAATGTTAATGATCTACTTTAAAGATAAAGATAGGTTTAAAGTTAGTAATCTAATCTAGCATTATTCAATATTCAACAACATTTGAACTTGATAACTTTCGTATTGTTGGTTTTCTCTTTTTCGTCCGTATACCAGTCGATTTGTCTCACTTTTCTCTTTATTTTGTTTGTAGTTTGAGCCCAAAATAATATATTTTGAAGGTTTTAATGTGCAGTTTTAATAAGCGAAATTGTATTGTTTACAAATCGCTCAAAATTATTAAACTAATTAAAAATAGGTACGCTACGCGTACATGTATCTGCGCAAAACTGGAGTCACATTTAGTATTTTCTTGAAAGGAAATGAATAATAATAATAATATTTAATATTTATATTGCACAAATTAACATGTTATAGTATATGATCAAATGCCCATCACAACATAATTACACTAAAATGATTCTAAAAAATATAAACAAGATTATATAGATTATATGTTACATGAAGTATTCACGTTAAAGGCTTCTTGAAAATAATAAGTCTTAACTAATTTCTTGAAAATACTAAAGTTATGCAGATTTCTTATATACATAGGTAATTCATTCCAGATTTTTGGAGTGGAGGTTACGAATGCTCTGTCGCCAAGTGTTTTCTTTGTTTTTGTACTATAGTCTTCAAGCGATGTGCTTTTGTTAGATCTTAGACTATAGCATGATGTATTTCTTACTTTTAAAAGATTGACAAGATAGAGAGGTGCATACTGATGGCTACATTTAAAAGCAAGCATAGCAATTTTGAACTTGATCCTTAAGTGTAATTCAGTGATGAGAGTCGGAGTGATGTGATCATGTTTAGGGATAGAACAGATAAGACGTGCTGCTGTATTTTGTAGCTGTTGTAGTTTAGACAGATGTACATCTGTGACACCAATGAATAATTGAAATATATATTTCATCACTTATATAATAGCAAATTAGATATTAAGATCAAGCATAATACACATCTACCAGCAAGGGTGGGTAGTAGCGAAGTAGTTGTAGTTCGTTACTGTAGCGAACTACAATTTTCAAGTAGCTAGTAGTTTTTGACTACTTTTTTAAAACACTAGCTGTAGTTATAGCGAACTACATTTTGCCTAAAAGTAGCCAAGTAGTTGACTACTTTTCAAACAGAAAATCGCTATTCGCTACTTTTTAAAATTGTTGGCAACTGGATAGAATAGCATAATAATTCGCTACATTTTTTAAGCAGTAGCTGTAGTCAGTAGCGAACTACTATTGTTCAAAAGTAGCAGTAGTTGTAGCTGACTACATATTTTTAAAGTAACTGTAGTTATAGCGAGCTACAAAAAGTTTGTAGTCAACCCACTCTTGTCTACCAGGGCTGTAAACAGGGGAAAGAGAATTTAACATACTAATTTCACAATGTCATTTTGATCATAACGAATAATCATGCAGTCACGAAATACAAATTACATTCAAACAATACTACACAAGTTGCACAAAATACAATACTTTTAAAATTAATATCACTAGCATATATTATATACAGTAGAACAAAGTTTTCAGGTCTAGTTTTCATATTGAATGAAATAGCTGCTATAAATTCCACTTGCAGTAGTATTTCGGATTATTACCATAACAGTAACAAAGGTTTCCTTAATAGGTCAACTGAGTTGTGACATCATAATGTTGATACATAAACTGGGATGTCACACTGATAACTTGACAATCTTCTTTATCATCGCCATATAATCGAGATATGCAAAACATTTTAGATGCCATAGAGTCAGGATAGCAGGTGTTGTCACAATCCATACCATTGACATATATACAGCATCCAAATTTAAACAATAAACAATATATATAGAAGTTAACATTTCCATTGAAATCATATATATGTCAATGATCCATACTCATAGAATTTTGACAGTTTTTCAAAACTTTATTGTATATAAAATCACATGAAGCAAATTTTTGTCAATTGTTTATATTTATAATGCATGGACTACATTTGGATTTGCCAACGTCAACTGTTGAGACTTGAGTAATATACATAAACTATTTAAGGAACATAAATTATTGCAGCAAACAGGTCAATCATACACATTCAAACTTTTTGGTCGTATAATAGTAGCAATACCATACATATTAAAAAGCTTTTGCTGGAAATATAGCTCTTTATATTTTATACATCGTAGAAATTGCATTCATGTTTAAACACTAGTAGCGAATATTGTTTACACATTAGTACATTGAAGATTTTTTATTATGATTCTTTAATTCTTACCTTAAAACAAAAACACTTCAAACACAGTTCAAGTCGACAAGAGTAAAAATATATAAAGTACTCCTCGAAATTAGCTCGAAGATTTTCGCGTACCGCCATGTTGATTTAGCCTGCGAACAGGCTGCTGCGATTCTACGGTTTTGTCACTGATCTATATGTTCTACACTGAATAGTCATTTCCGCATAGTGCGCTGATTGGCTAGGGACGGTCACAAGCTAAAATACTAGACACTGATTGGCTGCAAGCTAACAGCTAACAGATTTCGCAAACTCGATAGCATAGTCAGCATAGTATATCTGCTGGGCAGATACAAAAATGCAGTCCGTTTGATCCTTGATAACTTCGGAATTAATTGGTTTTCTCGTTTTCGGCCGTATGCCAGTGGATTCGTCTCACTTTTTCTCTTCATTTTGATAGTATTTTGAGCCCAAAATATTTTATTTTGAAGGTTTTAAAGCGCAATTTTGATCCTAATGTATGGACCAACTGGCGGCCGGCAGGAAAATTAGCGTACTAAATATAACTTTACTTGTAGGCGGAAACGCCGGAAGTTTGATTTGTAGGCGGGCACCGCATTTTAGTACTGTGTCTGGTTTGTATTGGTAGCCGTTGCCGTCCTAAAATCGTAAGGTCTCTATTATCCAGCTTGCTACGACACTGTTCTTGTACCATTGCGATCTAAAATAGCCAAGTACGAACAGATATAAAATGGCGGTCGAAGTCACATTTTTCTACCGTTGGGAATTGCATGTAAACCTATTGTCTGAGTATTGAAATTATTCTCATTTGGAATTCAAATTTAAGTCGCTTGAATACAGATGGCGCAAAGCATGTGTAAACATCAAGTTTTGGTAAATTTCCACTCGCAATTTTGCATCGAAATTGAATGGTTAGAACATTGTACAAAACTGGAAGTTTGCAAACTGAACTTCCAATGCCATACGTTTCCCAAATGGGCAACAAGCATTTGGGCAAATGTTCGAAAATTGGAAGAACATAACTTTAATTAAATTCTGAAAGTGGAAAAATGCGATTTCATTGTTTGTGTTGGAATGAATCCATAAAGGTACAATTTGACAGCTAAAAGCCTGATCTTTATAAATACGAAACAGAACCCTATAAACGTTATATTTAACACATTAAGACAACCTGTCAAAGTTGGATTACCTTTTTTATACACCCTGTATAACTATAGTTAATGCCTTACATTTTTTGGGTATAAATAAAGCGACATAAAGCCTGTGTAAAGGCGAGTGTCTCAGTAACGGGATCATTATATAATTATGAACAGACCCTGTGATACGGCCTTATTTCATCTCTTCCAGTCTCAGCTATAATATATGTTATGTATGATCATCTGCATTTTATATCCCCATAAAAAGCACCACACCGGAATTTATATGATATTGTGTATTATTACCAATACCAACATGTTGGATTTGTTAATCGAGGCTTTCAATTTACACTTTCTCTTACTTACATCTTGAAATTCGTTCTTCTGATAGATTACTGTACGCATTCCGACATCTTTCTATACTGTGTGAATATCTTGTATTTAGGTTTCCATGAATTAGGCCATCATCAGTCGTCGACTGAAACAATGTTGCTCTTGTATGGTGTGACCATAGTATAACATTTAATGCGATGATGTAATTCCAGTTAGGCGAAGACATGAGGATTGAGGTCTTTTTCCCACTAGATTTATTTTGCTTCTAATATTTCTCTACGGTTACACATGGCCTATCGACATGAAGTCATAATTGTGAAGCGTAAAGTTTGTTTTGAAAGACGATTTGTTTCAAGGACGGAATTTGCATGAACCGTAACATGACTCTTTATTACTCGCTGGGGCACCCTGTGCCCCGGACGAGTAAGGTTTCGGCTTGCATTTTTCACGGATCACGGATCCTGGATCTCCATCGTCGATAGCCACAAAATAGAATATTAATGAGCTGCCTAATTTCCCCCCAATTATCCATAAGGCTCCTGCCAATTTTACCCAAATTATCCATAAATAGCCCTCCATTTTGAGGAAAATTCGGGAAAACTGAACAATTTTACAAGGAATTTCGCATGGAAACAGCAACCTTCGCAAATCGCAAGTTTATAAAAGCAAGTTTATACGTTTGACTGCGCTGCTTTATATCTTGAGAAGAAAGCGACATCGTTCGATTCAGCGTAAAAAATTGTACTTACGGATGTCAAGTGTATTACTAAACACCCGTATTGTAGCGATTTGTGGCCTTTGAAAATGAAGCGAAATTGTATTGTTGATCACAAATCACAACCTCGTACCCAGGGCCTTTGCGCGGTTCAGAGGCTCTGGTACGGGAAGCAAAGGCCCTGGTAAACACTGGTCATGTGACTCCAAAAATATTGGACATTTCGTAATAATTTAGTTTTCAATCCGGGGGGAGCGGGAGCCGATTTATTTTATCAAACATGGCAGCGCGAAGGCGCGACGTTTTCGAGTTTTTACTGTTATTATGATCAATAAAACTTTCCTAGTGAGATTTAAGAGTGGGTATATATTATCTATGCATTCTACGAGCTTTCTTTCAACAAATTGTGGAATAGCTAACGGTAATACTTATCAAAGATCGAAGATCAAACTGAGAGAAAACTAGTCTAGTGATCTGTCTTTAAACTGTCTATTTTGTATCCA